TCAGGGCCACGTGAAAATCACCGATTTCGGGATGTGCAAGGAAAACATTTTCCCTGGAAACACCACCCGGACTTTCTGTGGAACCCCCGACTACATCGCTCCAGAGGTGGCCAGAATTCCCAAAATTCCCGAAATTCCCGAAATTCCCGGGATTTTGGGGGGATACAGCAAAAAAAAGGGGGAAAAATTTGATTTTTTTTTAATTTTGGGGGGATTTTTTTTTATTATTTTTGGGGGTTTTGGGGGATTTTGGGGGGTTTTGAGGAGTTTGGGAATTTCTGGAATTCCTGGAATTCCCAAAGCTCCCAAAATTCCTGGGATTTGGGGGGAAAACAGCAAAAAAAAGGGAAAAAACAGAAATTTTGGGGGATTTTTTTGGGGTTTTTTGGGGGGATTTTTTGGATTTTTTGGGGTTTTTTGGGGGTTTTTTGAGGGAATTTTTGGGACTTTGGGAATGATAAATTTGAGAACTCCCAAAATTCCCACAATTCCCACAATTCCCAACCTCCAAAACCCCAAAAAAACCCCAAAAAACCCCCAAAAATTCAATTTTTTCCCCTTTTTTCCCGTTTTTTTGGGGGGAATTCCCAAATTTTGGGAATTTTACCAAATTTTGGGAATCTTGGGATAATTTGGGATCCCAAAATTCCCAGATTATCGCTTACCAACCCTATGGAAAATCCGTGGATTGGTGGAGCTTCGGCGTCCTCCTCTACGAGATGCTGGCGGGGCAGGTGAGGAAATTCGGGAATTTTGGGGAATTTTCGGGAATTTTCGGGAATTTTTGGGAATTTTCGGGAATTTTGGGGGATTTGGGAGCTCCTGCAGAAATTTGGGAAGGATCTGAGGGGTTTGGAGGGAAAAATCGGGAATTTTTAAGGGGTTTTTTGGGAATTTTGGGGATTTTTGGGATAAATTTTGGGAATTTTTTGAGGGAATTTTGGGGATTTTTTGGGATAATTTTAAGGGAATTTTGGGATAATTTTTGGGGATTTTTGGGATTAATTTGGGGAATTTTTGAGGGAATTTTGGGGAATTTTTGGGATCATTTTAAGGGAATTTTGGGATAAATTTTGGGAATTTTTGGGATTAATTTTGGAGATTTTTGGGATAAATTTTGGGGAATTTTTGGGATAATTTTAAAGGAATTTTGGGATAAATTTTGGGGAATTTTGGGATTAATCTTGGGAATTTTTTGAGGGAATTTTGGGGATTTTTTTGAGATAATTTTAAGGGAATTTTGGGATAATTTTTGGGGATTTTTGGGATAAATTTTGGGAATTTTTAAAGGGAATTTTGGGGAATTTTTGGATAATTTTAAGGGAATTTTGGGATACTTTTTGGGAATTTTTTAAGGGAATTTTGGGGAATTTTTGGGATAAATTTTGGGGAATTTTTGGGATTAATTTGGGGAATTTTTGAGGGAATTTTGGGGATTTTTTGGGATAATTTTGGGGAATTTTTGGGATTAATTTTGGGAATTTGGGGAATTTTTTAAGGGAATTTTGAGGATTTTTTTGGGATAAATTTTGGGGAATTTTTGGGATAATTTTAAGGGAATTTTGGGATAAATTTTGGGGATTTTTGGGATAATTTCGGGGTCGGTTTTGGGTTTGTTTGGGGGGATTTTACTGGAATTTTTTTGGAATTTTTGGGGATTTTTTTGGGAATATTTTGGGGATTTTGGGGGGTTTTTTTGGGAATATTTTGGGGATTTTTGGGGGGAATTTTTGGGAATATTTTGGGGATTTTTTTGGAATATTTTGGGGATTTTGGGGGGATTTTTTGGGGGTTTTTTGGGAATATTTTGGGGATTTTTTGGGGGGAATTTTTGGGAATATTTGGGAATTTTGGGGGGATTTTTGGGGGATTTTTTGGGAATATTTTGGGAATATTTTGGGGATTTTTGGGGGGTTTTTTGGGAATATTTTGTGACTATTTTGGGAATATTTTGGGACTGTTTCGTGCTCCCTGCAGCCCCCGTTCGACGGCGAGGATGAGGATGAGCTTTTCCAATCCATCCTGGAGCAGACGGTGACGTATCCCAAATCCCTGTCCCGCGAGGCCGTGGCCATCTGCAAGGGGGTGAGCCACAATTCCCAACAATTCCCAACAATTCCCAACAATTCCCAACAATTCCCAACAATTCCCAACAATTCCCAACTCAATCCCTTTCACCCCAAATTTTTTCCCGATTTTTTGGTGTTTTTTCCCAATTTTTTTCCCAATTTTTTCCCAATTTTTCCCAATTTTTTGATGTTTTTTTCCCCAATTTTTCCCAGTTTTTCCCAATTTTTTCGTGGTTTTTTTCCCAATTTTTCCCAATTTTTTCCCAATTTTTTGGTATTTTTTCCCTATTTTTCTCAAATTTTTCGTGGTTTTTTCCCAATTTTTCCCAATTTTTTTGTGGTTTTTTCCCAATTTTTTGGTGATTTTTTCACAATTATTCCTGATTATCTTTTTAATTTTGGGGGGTTTTTTTCCCAATTTTCCCCAATCTTTTCCCAATTTTTTGGTATTTTTTCCCTAATTTTTTCCCAATTTTTCTCAAATTTTTTGTGGTTTTTTTCCAATTTTTTCCTGGTTTTTTTCCCAATTTTTCCCTGATTTTTTCCTAATTTTTTCCCAATTTTTTGGTGTTTTTTCCCAATTTTTTCCCAATTTTTTCCCAATTTTTCCCAATTTTTTGATGTTTTTTTTCTCCAATTTTTCCCAGTTTTTCCCACTTTTTTGGTGTTTTTTTTCCCAATTTTTCCTGTGTTCTTTTCCCCCATTTTTCCCAATTTTTTCGTGGTTTTTTCCCAATTTTTCCCAATTTTTTTCCAATTTTTTGGTGTTTTTCCCCCAATTTTTTCCCAATTTTTTGGTATTTTTTCCACAATTTTTTCCCTATTTTTCTCAAATTTTTCGGTTTTTTTCCAATTTTTTCCTGTTTTTTCCCAATTTTTCCCAATTTTTTTGTGTTTTTTTCCCAATTTTTTGGTGATTTTTTCCCAATTTCTCCTGATTATTTTTCCCAATTTTTTGGTAATTTTTTCCCCAATTTTTCCTGATTATCTTTTTAATTTTTGGGGGTTTTTTCCCAATTTTTCCCAATTTTTTCCCAATTTTTCCTGTGTTCGTTTCCCCAATTTTTCCCAATTTTTTCCCAATTTTTTGGTATCGTTTCCCCAATTTTTCCCAATTTTTTCCCAATTTTTTGGTATTTTTTCCCCAATTTTTTCCCTATTTTTCTCAAATTTTTTGTGGTTTTTTTCCAATTTTTTCCTGGTTTTTTTCCCAATTTTTCCTGATTTTTTCCCCCAATTTTTCCCCCATTTTTCCCCATTTTTTTGTATCTTTTCCCAATTTTTTCCCCCATTCCTTCCCACTTTTCCCCCAATTTTTCCACCCAATTTTTCCCTGATTTTTCCCCAATTTATCCAGGAATTCCAACAACTCCAAGACAAACCTTGGAATTCCCTTGATTTAATCCGAATTAAATTAAATTAAATTTAATCCGAATTAAATTCCCAATTTTCTGTTTTTTTCCCGCCATTTCCCCGTTTTTGCTCCGTTTTTCGCGGGGTTTTTTTTATTTTTCCCGGGAAAAACCCAAGAATTTCTGGAATTTTCCGCAGTTCCTGACGAAACATCCTGGGAAAAGGTTGGGAGCGGGGCCGGGGGGGGAGCAGGAGGTGCGGGCTCATCCCTTCTTCCGCCGCACGGATTGGGAACGCCTGGAGCGCCTGGAGGTGCCGCCCCCCTTCACCCCCCGCCCGGTGAGTGCTCCCGGAATTCCCAAAAATCCCTTGGAAAAGCCATTC